TGTATAAGTGTGGAAGATGCATGCTGCCTGGTTGTTCAGAGCTTAGGGGGACCCAAAACAAACTCAGTGGCCCCTAAGGGGATACTGCTACATGCAGGGCCATCTTTAATGTGGGGCAAACGGGCAGCTGCCCTGGGCCCAGTCATTATTGTGGGGCCCAAAGCAGCTGCCCCTTAAACCTGCGCTTTTCAAGGTTTGCCGACACTGGCCAGGGATGGAGCAGTCAGCCACATTTACCTCCTCTAGTCCTGGCTGCAGCCCTGTCAGGATGGAGTAACCTGTACTCTTTCACTCCCAGCATGACTTCAATACCACTGGGGGGAGCTGCCGCTGCTGTGGTGGTATGTGCAGGGAGTCTGGGGCTATCTGCCTCTGTGCCCCCCCCCCTTCCCGAGCCCCTACTGTGACAGTTTCCGACTGATCCCATCACCACACAGCAAGTGCCCCATGCCGTCCTGTGCCCACAGTGACAGACCTGACTGGCACCTGTGTGAGGAGGAGGAGTGGAGAGCCAAACCGGAGTCAACTCAGGTGAGACCACATACAGGACACACACTGGGCGGGCACATTAACCCCTAACCTTATACTAAACCTCCCTCAACACTTTCCACTTTTGACCTTGCTGCTACTGAAGAGGTCACTAAGGTTTCTCAGAAGCCCGTCTCACTACCTGCCCCTTGGATCCTGTCCCCTCACAACTACTACGGTCGCCCTCTTCTTCCATCCTATGCTCCCTCACTCACATCTTCAATCTCTCCTCTCTACAGGTGCCTTCCCCTCCCCTCTAAAGTATGCGCACATCACTCCCATACGTAAAAAACCCTCCCTGGACCCCACCAACCTGAACAACCTAAGACCCATCTCCCTGCTCCCCTATCCCTCTAAACTCCTAGAACGCTTAGTCTACAATCGCCTGAGCTCCCACCTCACTGACAACAACCTTCTTGACCCTTTACAGTCTGGCTGTCGCTCACTACACTCCACTGAAACTGCTCTACTAAAACTCTCTAATGATCTACTAACTGCTAAAACCAATGGCCACTACTCCCTACTCCTCCCAACCAATGGCCACTACTCCCTACTCCTCCCAACCAATGGCCACTACTCCGTACTCTTACTACTTGACCTCTCTGCGGCTTTTGATACGGTTGATCATCCCCTCCTCCTCAAAAAACTCCACTCTCTTGGCCTCTGCTCCCTCCTGGTTCTCCTCCTACCTATCACAGCGCTCCTTCAGCGTTACCTATAACTCTGCCTCCTCCTCTTCACTCCCTCTTTCTGTAGGGGTCCCTCAAGGTTCTGTCCTTGGACCCCTTCTCTTCTCCATCTACACCTCCTCCCTTGGTCACTTGATAAACTCCCATGGCTTTAAGTACCATCTCTATGCTGATAACACACAAATCTATCTTTCTACCCCTCACCTCACCCCTTCAGTCTCCTCTCGCATTACTAACCTACTAAGCGACATATCGGCTTGGTTGTAACTCCACTTCCTCACACTCAATCTTTCCAAAACTGAGCTCTTAGTATTCCCCCCAGCCCGTGCCCCCTCCCCTGACTTCTCTATCAAGATCCATAACACAATCATCAGTCTCTCCCCTCATGCCAGGGTACTAGGTGTAATCCTAGACTCCCATCTGTCCTTTCAGCCCCAAATCCAAATCTTGTAGACTTCACCTCCGCAACATCTCCAAGATACGCCCGTTCCTAACCTCAGAAACCACTAAGCAACTTATTCACTCCCTTGTTATATCTCGCCTTGACTATTGTAACTCCCTCCTCATTGGCCGACCTCATCGCAGGCTATCCCCTCTTCAGTCTATCATGAGCACTGCTGCCAGACTCATCCACCTTACTAACCATTCTGTGACTACCACCCCTCTCTGCCAATCCCTCCACTGGCCCCCACTCAGTGTCCTCCACCCCTCTCTGCCAATCCCTCCACTGGCTTCCACTCAGTGTCCTCCACCCCTCTCTGCCAATCCTCCCTCCACTGGCTTCCACTCAGTGTCCTCCACCCCTCTCTGCCAATCCCTCCACTGGCTTCCAATTTCCCAATGGATACAATTCAAAACTCTAACAATAACATATAAAGCCATTTATAACTCCGCCCCAATTACATCACCAATCTTGTCTCTAAATATCACCCAAACCGTGCTCACCGCTCCTTGCAAGACCTCCTACTCTCTAGCTCCCTTGTCTCCTCCTCCCATGCTTGTCTCCAGGATTTCTCCAGAGCTTCAACCATCCTCTGGAACTCTCTACCCCAATTTATCAGACTATTGCCTACTCTGCTCACTTTTAGGTGATCTCTGAAAACCTATCTCTTCAGGGAAGCCTATCCTGCCCTCAGCTAATAATGGAATCATCTACTCTTCCAACCAGTCCATCCCCACCAGTTACTACCTTTTGTACCACTAGCCCCTCCCTCCTAGATTGTAAGCTCCAAGGATCAGGCCCTCCTATCCCTCTTGTATTGAACTGTATTGTTGCTGTATTGTCTCCCTTATATTGTAAAGCGATGAGCAAACTGTTGGCGCTATATAAATCCTGTAATAATAATAATAATAATAATAAGCACAGTGTTCCTGTACTCTGCACTGATTTACTATTCCAGGGGCTTTTCATTCTAATGTCACCCTACAATAGGAGGGGCCCTGGACTAGAGGTAGCTGTCTTTCTATGGAGGGGCCTCTGGACTGGAGATAATTGTCTCTCTATGGAGAGGCCCATAGCCTCTGAACTGGAGGTGGCAGTCTCCTATGGAGGGGCCCCTAGACAGGAGGTAGCAGTCTCTCTATGTAGGGCATCCATAAAGAGATTGCTACCTCTAGTCCAGGGGCACCTTCATTAAGAGATTGCCACCTCAAGTCCAGGGGACCCTCCATAGGGAGACTGTCACTTTCAGTCAAGGGTCCCCTCCACAGAAAGATTGCCATGTTATCCGCTAGCAACCAATCAGTGAGTGGTGATTATGTGCAGTAACCTTTAGCAACCAGTCAGTGAGTGGTAATGATGTGCAGTAGCCTCTAGCAACCATCAGTGAGTGGTAAGCATGTGCAGTAATCTCTAGCAACCAATCAGTGAGTGGTAATGATATTCTGTAACCTCTGGTAACCAATTGCAATCACTGCCTGATCTGCTGCAGTAAACTGATTTTGAGTCTAGCTGTTACAGTGAAGGAAATAAGTATTTGACCCCCTGCTGATTTTGAATGTTTGCTCACTCACAAAGAAATGATCAGTCTCAGGGGCGGACTGACAACTCATGGGGCCCCCGGCAATAGGGGATCATGGGGCCCCTGTGTCCTTGCCCAAACTCAAAAAAGCCTATGAAAAAGGTACCAGGGGCATCTCATGGGGCCCCCTACTGACCCCGGGCCCTCGGGCAGTGCCCGAGTTTCCAAATGGTCAGTCCGACCCTGATCAGCCTAAAAATCGAATGTTCGATGTATTGTAACACTGAGAGACAGAATAGCAACAAAAAATTCAAAAGAAATGCATGTCTAACAAATGATGACTGATCTGTATGTTGATGAGGGAAATAAGTATTTGATCCCCTTCACAAAACATGACTTAGTACTTGGTGGCAAATCCCTTGTTGGCAATCACAGAGGTCAGACGTTTCCTGGAGTTGGCCCCCAGGTTTGTACACCTCTCAGGAGGGATTTTGGCCCACTCTTCTTGGCAGATCCTCTCCAAGTCATTAAGGTTTGGTGGATGACGTTTGGCAACTCGAACTTTCAGCTCCCTCCACAGATTTTCAATCGGGCTAAGATCTGGAGCCTGGCTAGGCCACTCCAGGACCTTAATGTGCTTCTTCTTGAGCCACTCCTTTGTTGCCTTGGCCGTGTGTTTTGGGTCATTGTCAAGCTGGAACACCCATCAATGACCCATTTTCAATGCCCTGGCTGAGGGAAGAAGGTTCTCACCCAAGATTTGATGGTACATTGCCCCGTCCATCATGTTCCCAACAAAGTCCTGTGGTTCAGCATACAAGGTTCATGGGGCTGTTCTACAGAGTGTTGGGCCACACTTGTGTTTCTCTTAACATCCTGCAACTTGCATTATAGCAGGGTGTTACATGCAGCACAGTGGCTAAATTATTATTATTATACAGGATTTATATAGCGCCAACAGTCTGCGCAGCGCTTTACAATATAAGGGAGACAGTACAATTACAATACATTTCAGTACAGAAGGAATAGGAGGGCCCGGCTCGTGGAGCTTACAATCTAAAGGAAGGGGGAGGGGATACAAAAGGTGATAGCTGCGGGGGATGATCTGGTGGAGGTGATTCAAGTACAGTTCTTAGGTGGAGGTGGGGTAGGCTTCCCTAAAGAAGTGAGTTTTCAAAGACCGCCTAAAGGCAGACAGGGTGGGGGCTGACCGGACATGCTGAGGTATTGAGTTCCAGAGGACGGGAGAGGTTCTGGAGAAGTCCTGGAGGCGAGCGTGGGAGGCAATGATAAGGAAGCTAGAGAGGAGGATATCATGGAGGAGCGGAGTGGGCGATTTGGGCGGTATCTGTGGATGAGGTTGGTGATGTAGCTAGGGGCAGTGTTGTGGATGGCTTTGTAAGCTGTGGTTAGTATTTTGAATTTTATACGTTGGGTTAGTGAAGCCAGTGAAGGGGATTGGCAGAGAGGGGTGGAGGACACTGAGTGGAGGCCAGTGGAGGGAGTGGCAGAGAGGGGTGGAGGACACTGAATGAAGGCCAGTGGAGGGATTGGAAGAGAGGGGTGGAGGACACTGAGTGGAGGCCAGTGGAGGGAATTGGCAGAGAGGGGTGGAGGACACTGAATGGAGGCCAGTGGAGGGATTGGAAGAGAGGGGTGGAGGACACTGAGTGGAGGCCAGTGGAGGGATTGGCAGAGAGGGGTGGAGGACACTGAGTGGAGGCCAGTGGAGGGATTGGCAGAGAGGGGTGGAGGACACTGAGTGGAGGCCAGTGGAGGGAGTGGCAGAGAGGGGTGGAGGACACTGAGTGGAGGCCAGTGGAGGGATTGGAAGAGAGGGTGGAGGACACTGAGTGGAGGCCAGTGGAGGGATTGGAAGAGAGGGGTGGAGGACACTGAGTGGAGGCCAGTGGGGGGATTGGCAGAGAGGGGTGGAGGACACTGAATGGAGGCCAGTGGAGGGATTGGAAGAGAGGGGTGGAGGACACTGAGTGGAGGCCAGTGGAGGGATTGGCAGAGAGGGGTGGAGGACACTGAGTGGAGGCTAGTGGAGGGATTGGCAGAGGGGTGGAGGACACTGAATGGAGGCCAGTGGAGGATTGGCAGAGAGGGGTGGAAGATACTGAGTGGAGGCCAGTGGAGGGAGTGGCAGAGAGGGTTGGAGGACACTGAGTAGAGGCCATGGAGGATTGGCAGAGGGGGTGGAGGACACTGAGTGGAGGCCAGTGAAAGGATTGGCAGAGAGGGGCAGCAGTCACTGATTGGTTGGTAAAGTGTATGAGTCTAGCAGCAGCATTCATAATAGACTGAAGGGGGATAGCCGTGTAACGGTAGACCAGTGAGGATGGGGGAGTTGCAGTAATCGAGGCGGGATATAACCAAGGCGTGGATAAGTTGTTTTGTGGTGTCATTGGTCAGGTAGGGCGGATTTTGGAAATGTTTCCGGAGGTTGAGGAGGCAGGATTTAGCCAGTGAGTGGATGTGGGGCCCAAAGGAGAGGTCAGAGTCTAGGATTACGCCTAACACACCCTGGCATGAGGGGTTAGCACTTCCGCATGGCAGTATTCGAGTCATTGGTTTGAATCTCAACCATGGGCACCACCTGCCTGGAGTTTGCATGTTCTCCCTGTGGCCTGCTGTGGTTTCCTCCGGATACTCCGGTTTCCTACTCCCACACTCCAAAGACATGCTGGTAGGTTATTTGGATCCTGTCTAAATTGTCCCTAATATGTGTATGTATGAATGTGAGTTAGGGCCCTTAGATTGTACGCCCCTTGAGGGTTAGGGACTGATGTTGAATGTACAATATATAGTAAAGTGCTGTGTAAAGTGATGGCGCTATATAAGTACTTGAAATAAATATATATAGAATTAAAACATCCTGTATCCCTGAGCTCAAGAAATGGTGAAAATATCGGCATACAAAATTAAAATAATAATTATTAAACCAGTTACTTAAATATTTAAATCAAGCTACCATATTAATTAACCAAAAAAAATCTATAAACAGTGACTAAAAAAGTAGTACACATGTACTAGACGCTATGTCCAATACTTGAATGTCCAATTGATATACGTAAAGAGTAAAAGAAAGAAAAAAAACTTCTTTACCAAAAAAAATAAAATTATAATGTGAAAAGTTCAATTTCCATTCCAGTGGTAAGTGTCTCTTTGAGACAAAATATCCATCATCCCATGTGCTTTTTTGCAGAGAATAAGGCTTTTGCATTACACTATACAATGTTCTGTCCAATTTCTGTTCAGCAAAACTTCCTATTATTATTACCTTGAGCTGTGTATGCAAGGGCCTGCCAAATTGATTTACAATTAATTATTTTTATTATTATACAGATTTTTTTTTAGCCGCCAATAGATCAATCAGCGCTGTTTATTACAAATTGAAAGTTTTATTACGTTTGTTATTATCCTATTTTCTGGATTTCTTATTTAATCTATAATTTCATTATAATATTATTATTTTTTTTATTTCTTAATTATTTTAACTTGTATGGCCAGCCTTTTTCCTAATTTGTTATTTTTTACTCACCAGAAGCTGATTTATTACCAGCAGTGGAAAATTATAGGAATTCAATTTATTTTTTTTTTTTTTTTTTATCTCCTTAACAATGATTTGTTTTGATTAATTTGACTTAATTTATAATCAGGCTATTTTTCTCTTACAGGACTTTGTATATTTTTCAATTATTATTTTTTTTTATCTATTCAATTGTTATATTTTTCCGTATTTTTCTTAATTTATTGTTCTGAGCTGATTTCAATCTAAGCTTTTTTCTGGGTATATATCATTTTCTATCTTGCAATGAAAGTTGGAGAGGGAGATTATGCTAATTATTTATTTTCTTAGGGATCGTGAACTTTATACTATTGCTGTTATTTTATTTGTGTTATTCTCTGTATATAATTTTTTGGAGCTTTTTTTTAACCTGAATAATGGTATTAATATATATTTTTCTTTCAGTATATGTTTTTTTTTTTTTTGTCTTTCATTATCCTGTGATATTTTTTTTTTTTATATTTATATAAAATTTTCGTCATAAACTTCTAATAATGTACAATCCCTTTTTAATATTTATAATAATTTTTTTCTTTTTGTTACTAATATTTTGTTTTTTTTTTATAATTTTTATATATTTTTTTTTAATAATTTGTATATATGTCTGTATTTTAATAAAAAATTAAATTTTTGTTTTTTAATATACTATAAAAATTTTGTTTTTTTTTTTTTTCAATTTATATATTCTTTTTTGTAATTATTTTTTTTTATATGTTCTTTTTTTTATAGATTTTTATAATTATTTTAATATTTTTAGTTTTTATCCTGTAATTTTTTTCTTTTAAATATATATTATTCTTGAATTGTAGTTTTTATTATTTTTAATTTTTTTTTTTATTTATCTATCTACTTTTTTATTTCTTTCTTTATTACATATCTATTTTTATAGAATTTTTTTTTATTTTAATTCATAATTTATTTTAATTTTATGTATTTTTAGTTTTTATATAAATCTCTTTAAATTTTTTTTTTTTAAATTTATAATATTATTGATATTAATTTTGTATATTGTTTTTTTTTTTTCTCATATAAAGTCTTTCTTTTTTTTTTTTAATACTTTCTTAATATTTGTTTTTTCTTTATAATTTTTTTTATTTATTTTTCTCTGTATAAATAATTTTGTTTAATTTTCTCTTTTTTTTAATAATCCTGAGCGTAAAATTCTTATTTTTTCATAATACGATTAACAATTTTTGTTTCTTTTAGATACATAATGTTTTTTATTTAAAATTTGTGTATATTCTTTATATTTTTATCCTTTATTTTTTTTATTTTTCTTTTTCTTTTTATTATTTTATTTTTTTCTAAAAGTTTTTAATAGTTTTATTTTTGTCTATTATCTTAACTTTTCGTTTTTTTTTATAATTTTTATTATTTTTTTTTTTTCCTGTTTTTTTTTTTTTACTTAGTTTAATAAAATTGTTTATTTATTTCCCTGTATTCTAATAATAATATTTGTTTATCCTGTTATAATAAGCTTATTTTATTTTTAGTTTTTTTTTTTTTCTAAATCTATAATTTAATCTTTTTTTGTATATTTTTTATATGCAACTTAAATATTAAATTTTCATATTTTTTTTTCTTTTTTATAATAAATTTTTTTATTCTTTTTTTTTTAGTTAAATTTTTTTTTTTGTATTTCTTTTCTTTTTTTCTTTTTGAATAATAAAAGTAATAAAAATTTATAAATCCAGTATAAATAATAAAATATAAATCCTGTATTATTTTTTATCTTTCTAAATTTTTGTTTTTTTATTATTAATATATAAATACTGGTATTTTATATATTTTTTTTTATAATAATATCTTATTTTTTTTTTATAATTATATTTTTATCCTTTTATGGCTTATATTATAAAATTTTTTGATTCTTTAATAATAATAATAATAACTAAATCCTTTATTTTAATAAAATTTTTTTTTTATTTTATTTTCTTTTGATATTTATTTTAATAATTTTTATTTTTTATGTAGAGTATGGTCATAATTTCTTCCATGTAAAAAAAAAAACAAATAAAAAAACAAACAAAAAAAAAGTTACAAAAACGCAAAAATACAGAGGAGCAAATAAGAAAAAAAAAAAAAAAAACATGGGATTGATAGCAGTCCCCCAAATTTTTTAAAAAAAAAATTTTCATTTTGTCAATTTTTCTTGGGAAAAGGTCCCGTTTTTCCCTAACTGGCACTCTCCCGGGTTTGGCCTTCCTGGAATGTTTTCC